TTCAGAAAACGTATGTCCAAAGACGGTCCAATGTCCAATGCTTACGTCGATTGTCCGTCCAAAAATGTCCAAGCCAGCCATTTGTCCAAAGATGTCCGACACCTACGCAATAGTTAACACTCAACACTGTTATTTAATTTGCTTTTCATGTACCGTTACAAGCTCAAAAGTGTTAATCATATCGAAAGCTGAGCTTTCTAATAGCCAATCAATGTTAAACACGACTACCGTAAAGTGGGGCTATTTGAGACAGTGGGGCTATTTGAGACAGTACGGCAGTGGCTTAGTAAAATTGCTCTAAAATTAAAACCGTTTGATATTTTTGAGCAATTTTTGTTCAAGCTGATGTGGAATTTAACAATGAATTCCATGGATAGGGTTTTTGAAAATTTTGAAATTTTTTGAAAGAAATTTGGCATTAAATGAGAAATACAGAAAACCACAACTTAAGTTATACGAAAAGCACCCCTACCTGCAGCTTAACATGGTTGAAGTTTTAAAAACTTTTCAACCAAATCTATCGTAACTATCGTTCTACTTATAGGCTAAGCACATTTTACATGAAGACATCATATATTGTTAGCGGTAGTGACAATTGTGTAACCCGATGTCTCAGAATCCCGATGATACCCACCTCGTCAAACCTCAACGTATACCAAATACAGCTGATCGTTGTGATGCCAAGGCCCTAAAACGGGTGATATGATGCATCCTAAAGACTTACCGCCATTTGCCTAAGGTGTATCAAACGTTCGACCTAAGGAACACCGATGAATCGGCCATGGGTTCATGATACTTTTAGCAGCAAGCAATATTTACACATTGTAACGTAATACGACCATCCAGTTTGTGACGATATTAGTTACCTTTATGAATATGTGCAATGTGCATAAAATGTGTTTCATCAGTCACTGACGTGGTCGGTAATCGACCCATGTCTACTCTGGTTGACCATAAGCACCATTGAAGGTTATTTATCATACATACTTACTGTTAGGTGAGCCTTCAGCATCCGTACTTGATGCAGTGCGGTAACCGGCCATTCGATACAACATGCAGTGGTCTAGGAAAATCGGTATAAAATCAAAACCGTTTGACCTTTTTCTGTTATTTCTTCACAGGTTGATGTGCAATGGAACAGTCGATCATGCATATCATTCATTCAACCATTTTGGAAACTGCTTCCCCTTTTTAATGCATTACGGTGCGTTAAATGCAGTAGCGAGCCTGTCTCAAATAGCCCCACCAACTTTCGGCCTATATGTTTTACGCCACCAGATATAAACACAACAACTTTATTTGAAAATTTCACTATCGTTTACTTAGAAATCGTACTAGATAATCATCCTGTGATTTTTAGAGCTTAGGATCACATCATATTATGACAGCCCTAGCATAAAGTAATGCAATTTTTAGCAGAACGAAGTGCTATGTCCAACGAAAAACGAAAAATTTGATTATAAGGGTTATATAATTGTAGTTGAAAGAAATACTTTTTGCCAGAAGTATCATTCCAATCGCATGGCATTAAAAGAATTATCCCTAGCTTGACCAATTTTCTTCAATATCCTTGCAACTAAAACTGTCTCAAATAGCCCCACATTATGGGGCTATTTGAAACAGGCTTCAATTAGAAAAATAACGTTATTTATGGTTACTAGCTGAACCAAAATTGACCTAGCTGAAAGCGGTTACAGAGAACTACGTTTTTGCAATTTACATGCTATAGGAAATATCAACCGTTTTGAAGGGAGAGGCTAAAAACAGTAAAATCCGTTTCAAATAGCCCCACTTTACGGTACTTTTGAAAAATGTTGAGGTGTAGCAAGCAATTGTCCAAAGTTGTCCAAAGCCTGCTGCCATTGTCCAACCGAATTCCGAATTGGACATCAGACAAAATCGGAATTCCGAAGATTCAAGTTCCGATTGACACCACTAGTAGGTACTACGAATACCCGGCAGGACCCCTACTGGTTGACCTGACCTGACCTGACCCGACCTTAAAGGGACTATCCCACCTTTAACATGGGGTTTGAGTTGAGATAGCCAAGTTTGCGGCGAGGTTCAGAAACCACTATCTATCTAGGTTGCAACCCCCGCGGCCTCTTGGTGTTGAAGAAATTCGTTCCCTTCATTTGAAAATGGGCCTTGCGCAAGGCCCTATCTTCAACATGGAGCGACCGTTAGTGTGACGTCACCTCGTTTAGTCATTCTGATTTAAATGGGTTTGTTCGTTGAAAAATCGCTTAAAACTTGGTCTGAACTTTGTTGTGGTGCCTACAGAGTAAAAAGAATCAGCTTTATGACAGTAATGTGGCCTGGGGAAGGAGGTAATTTTGGGCTGTGACGTCACATATTTGAAAGTTTGTGTTTGGAATATGGGAAGCCTAAGATGTTTAATGAAAAATAAATGCCAGAACCGTGTTCCTGGTCATCCAATCTATAAAGTCGGGCACAATTTAACTGGTTTTAACAACATTTTAGAAGGTGGGATAGTCCCTTTAATGAACTTCAATATCAGGATATGGATTTTATTAGAACCATCCGGAGTCGGAGCTGGAGTCGGAGTCGGAGTCGGAGTCGATTTTTGAAGCCGGAGTCGGTGTCGGAGTCACCCTAAAATCCATCGACTCCGCAGCCCTGGGCCAGACCGTTGCACCTAGTGCGCTGAAAATTGCGCAACTTATAGAACAAGGATGGGCATTGGGCAATGTGCCTGTGAGGGGTCTCAGCTCGATCGGGCTGGTGGTGAGCACATGGCGCGTGCTGAAAAAGTGCAAATTCGCGTCATAGACTTTACATGTATAAATTGGCTTGCAAAATTAAGCGAAAATGGCTAAATTTGCCCGACACGGGTCCGGTCTCCGTGCAGTATCTCGGAAACCGTGGGTCCGATCGGCATGGGGAACAAAGTATCGTGTATGAGAATCGAACGGGCTATCGAATGGTCAGCGGTGCAGGGATGGCCCGCGCCACGTGCACCCATGAGGGCACTTATGCTTGAAAAATTGACGTTTCGGACGTATTTTGGACTTAATGGTGACTGTCAGGAGGAGCGGGTTCAAACAACGCCTGTTGTCAAGAGAAATATACCGCCACTCATGGAAAAATTGTGAAAAGCTAATTGATCAAAAACAAGGTGGAACAAATCGCTTGAGAAAATGGTATTTGTTCATGACTTACTTAATTACACTGGTATTGCTGCACAACCTGGTACGTTTGACATTTGAAAATGGCATAGTTGGAAATAACATTAAATTTTGTCCAATATCCAATCGCCTTTGTATGACGGGCGACAATATTCTTACAAATATAAATGTTTCAAACCTCTACATAGTAATTCATCAATGGCTTTCATTTTTCAATAACCTACGTCAACCAATGTTATAATACACTTGGCATGTTCTATAGTACTCGTAGATCGCATTGTTATCAGACACGAGCACCTCGATGCGATGGATATTTTTCCCAAACCAAAATGCTTAGCTGTAAAAAGGCAATCGACCGAAATGGATACATAACCCACGGATACGACCAACCAAACGCCCACCGATCGAAAATACCCCTTATTCGCGTTGCGGAGCAAGCGGGTCACCCTAGCGGGCCCCATTCACCCGGGGGCCCGGGCCCTATCCACACGGGCCACCGAGCCCTATCCACACGGGGGCCCGAGTCCTATCCACACGGGGACCGGCCCCGTCCACCCGGGGCTCCGGGGCCCGTCCACCAGGGGGCCCGGGCCCATCCACCCGGGGGTCCGGGTCCCGTCCACCCGGGGCCCGGGGCCGGAACCATCCACCGGGGGCCCGGGCCACGTCTACCCGGGGGCCTGGGTCCCATCCACCCAGGGGGCCCGGGCCTGTTCTCCCAAGGGCCCGGGCCCGTTCTCCTGGGGGCCGGGCCCCATCCACCCAGGGGGCTCGGGCCCGTTCTCCGGGGCCCCGGGCACATCCACCGGGGGCCCGGACCCGTTCTCCCGGGGGCTCGGGGCTCGTTCTCCCGGGGGCGCGGAACCATCCGGCGGGGGGCCCGGGCCCGTTCTCCCGGGCCCCATCCACCCAGGGGGCTCGGGCCAGTTCTCCCGGGGCCCGGACCCATCCACCGGGGGCCCCATCCACCCGGGGGGCCCGGGCCCCATCCACCCAAGGGGCCCGGGCCCGTTCTCCCGGGGGCCCCGGGCCCCATCCACCCGGGAGCCCAGACCTGTTCTCACGGGGGCTCGGGGCCCGTTCTCCCGGGGCCCGGACCCATCCACGGGAGGCCCGGGCCCATCCACTCGGGGCCCGGGCCTCGTCCACCTGGGGTCCCAGGACGACCCCTCACCCGTGGTGTCCCAGTAGGCATTTCTCGAAGCGGGCTCGTCCGATTAGGTTAGGACCCATCTCCTCTCTGTCTCTCTCTGTCTCTCTCTGTCTCTCTCTCTCTGTCTCTCTCTCTGTCTCTCTCTCTCTGTCTCTCTCTCTGTCTTTCTCTCTGTCTCTCTCTCTGTCTCTCTCTCTGTCTCTCTCTCTGTCTCTCTCTCTGTCTCTCTCTCTCTGTCTCTCTCTCTGTCTCGCTATGAATACGATTTTATCGATTTTGCTTAAACGAATGATCACTGAAGAGTTCCCGAACGAGGTATGTGTGGAACGTTGTCGCGCGTTTCCGAACACAAATTCAAACCTATTCATATTGTACATTTTTGGTCATGAAAAGTGTTTAATCTTGTCTTTACCTTGTGTATTATGTGTTTGTTTTACGTGCTTTTAAGACAGGCTGACGAAGAAAGACGAACAAAAGACAGTCTTGAATCATTGCCATCTAGCGTGAAAAGGAGAGAACTATAGCTTCATCCTACGTCCGCAGCAGTTGGAATGGGGTTTACAAAACAGTTACGGGTCATATAATTTTGAGTTTTGAGGAAAATACTGCGCCTCGATATTATTTTATGTCGTAGCGCAAAAAAATATGCCAGTTTCCTTGAAAATCTCGGTTATCGATACACTCTACTATAGAATCAAAAGAACACAATGGCTTTCGCCCTGTATTGCCACTCACTCGAGTCATGATAAGCTAGTAATCATCCAGCACGGACTAATGACCTATGTTGGGAGACAACAAAGAGGTGTTTAGCACCACGCAGCTCACTGATGTTCGCTCCGAACTCGGCGAAGCATTAACACAATTCGGACTGTGTTGCCGGATATCACTTCAAGGCGGAGAAAACCTTTTCACCAGCCTGAAATGACAAGAGAAGAAGTTCGTGAGAAGACGGTGACATAGGCAAAACTACAATTTGCAAACTGTGCAAGCTTCCTAGGGTGCCCTGGCGCACTATTGGCCAGGGCACCCTAGGAAGCGCTAGCAATCCCCAAAAAATGACTGTTCCCGAATAACTTGCGAACAAAACGACCGATCGTGACAAAACAATCAGGACCATCTGGTTAACTTATGTAACGCATCTTTAACAAATTAATAACCCTGAAGGCAATTGACCTTTTATCCAGATATTCGTTTAACATAGTTAGTTCGCATCAATTCCACATGCATTCCCTTAGTTGGGTAATTACAGCACGTTCCCTCATTTTTTGTTTGTTTGTTTGCTTATTTGTTACCCCGGCGGCCGCTGGGCCTCCGCGCCACCCGCCGGCCGCTGGGGGTGGCATGTAGTTGCCCCCCTATAGGGGAGAGTGGGGCAAAGCGGCCACCCTAACGCTTCTCACGATGCCAACGCTTGATTTTTAAACTTGGAAAGATTCTTTCTATACCAATGTGATCCCTATTAACCCTCGCCGGACCTATTGGTTTTCTACATACGCGCCGGCCGAGGGGGGGGGGGGGGGGGGGGGGCGGGTACGACCCCCCCCCCTCGCCGTTTCGCCCCTGGTGGAGCTAGCGCGTCGCGGAAAAAACGAGCGTGTGCGCCGTTACGAGACGCAGAGATTGGTACCCGATTTTAAGGTCCTAGGTCAACCGGTGACCTCTAAGGTCAGGTCAAGTGCCCCAGGGTACGGTTCAGTTTTTGGTGAATAACTTCGCAAAAAACGGCCGCAGAGCCGCGATTTTGGCAGCATCGTGTTCGCCTCGCTCAGGCGCGTCGAATGATATATTTTTTGTCTGGGTCAGGTCAACTTGGGGTGTTGACCTCAGGTCAAGGTCAGGTCAGCACCCCCAGGTCACGAAGTTGGTCGAAAGAGGTCATGTCGCATATCATTCGATTCGGCAGGTCTTCCTGAGTCCATTGGTGGCTTTCTCGACTCGCTAGCTCAATTTGATCAAGAGTTATTGACGAAAAACTAATATGACCTTGATGACGTCATAAATGACGTCACGCAAGGTCAACATTGCAAAAGTGACGCGTCTAACCTTGCAAGGAGTGTATCAAATCACGATTCTGTGTGCTTGAGATAGTTGGAGATCGTTCCCGGCGCCAGAATAGCAGTTTTCATTTTTCCCCATTGACTTATAATGGTGAGGTCACGAAAATGACCTGACCTCATATGACCTTTAGGAAAAATCCGAGATATACAAGTTGTGAGACTCATAATGGATACTAGATCCTGCAAGTTTCATTTCCCTGTGACATCTCCTCTGGCAGTGAGGGCGTTGCGAAGTTGCGACATCTGAAGACCGTGCAGAGGTTCACTTATGACGTCATAGGTCAGTGACCTGACCTGACCCAAAAATGCGGTTGGTGTCAAAAGATGCGGCTTGGATCAAAGGTCAGGTATGCCAAGTTTCAGCTCTCTATCTTCAGCGTGTTCGGAGCTATTGCGAAAAAACCCTATGGGGGGGGCGGCACCCGCCCCCCCCCCTCGGCCGGCGAGGGTTAAGTTGCCTTTTATTTCAACTGCGTTTTATTTCCAAAGGCGTTCACATATGAAAGGTATTGACAAAACTTTAAACCTATGCATATTGGCCACTTTGCCCCATACCCTGGGGCAAAGCGGCCACCGGCGTCTTCTCAAGTCCCGATATGAGAAACAAAATAGTTGCCTCGTGTACGACTAGGGTATTTGATGGTGACAAGGTTAAGCGAGGATGGATGTTTATTTTATCATCTTCCACCTGTAGGTAAACAAAGAAAGGATTTTCATGAAAATAAACATTTAATTGCATTATTTGGTAACTCATGCAACTGAAAAGTGGTCAAGATGAATGCATGACGACACATTTGAATATAAATAATGTTTTTTATCCAGATGGAAGCAACTTATGGCCAATTGGGGGGTGGCCACTTTGCCCCGGCCACTTTGCCCCGCGCATACCGTCCGAGACAAAAATATTCCAGCTTAGCTATTAGTGGGGTAAAAAACATTAAAATTGGTAGAATACATGTACGATAACCATGCAATGCATGGACAAGAACGCTGATAAAAATTCCAAACGGTTATGGAATAACATAACATTTACAAATTGTAAACATAGTTGGTAACCTGGCAAAAAATGCTTTTCCGTGTTTCACAGAACAATGGTGATGGGCCTGAAACCCCGGTCTGGCTCATTCGAACGACCGTGAAGAGAAGTATAACTGGAAACCATAAATTGGAACTGACGCCAGCTATGAAGGGCTAAAACGATGGGTGGCCGCTTTGCCCCCGGTGGCCGCTTTGCCCCACTCTCCCCTACATCTGCGACGATATCGTCACAACGCGGAGAGATAAAGAAGCGAAACTTTGCACACGTCTTCCTGAATACCTAGCCGAGGTCGTGTCCAAATTTGGTGTCGATCCCATTTGAAATGACGTAACAGTTACGTCAGAAGTCAAATTATAGATCTGCGAGTCTCTGTTTCCTCACGATATATCTGATATATGACATTGAATATAAAGGACCAATTATTGGTCAGGAACTAGTTGGAAGTGTGCTCAGATGTTTTAGGATGACAACAGGTGGCTGCCTAACTACATAGTTCATTTACAGTTTAGTTTCATGCTCAGCGACATCCGAACTGGTCCATATCGGAAAGCGACAAAACTTTCTGACGTCACTGTGACGTCATCTACAGTGCTACAACCACTAAACTTGTTTCAAACATTGCCTAGGTATTCATTTGAAGCTATGCCAAGTTTAACGCTCGTAGCCCATCAGATTTCGGAGGGGTCCACGTCAAAACAGCTAGCGACAATTGAGCTAGTGACTTTTCATTTTGAGCTAGTGCAAAACAGCTAGTGCCTCAAAACAGCTAGTGACAAAATCGCTAGCGTCAAAATACCTAGTGCTTCAAAACAGCCAGTGATGAAATCGCTAGCGTCAAAATAGATAGTGAAGCAAGTAGCAACTGATATAAGATTATTCAAATCACCAGCTATAAGTTTTTATTGGGTAGCTTTCGGAAGCTTTCCAGCTTCCTTCATCAGCCTAGGACACAAAGATATGTTAAAACAGACAAAACACGGATGTACAGAATAATTAAAAAATTCAAATAACGCCACATTTAGTCAAAGTGGCGCAGACATTCAAGATAATCTCGTTTCGTAATTCACATCGTTCCACTTCGTTGAGGAATTCGTGAAGCACAAATACACATCAAAACAGCATAGGTACAACAATAAAACCGCGAGAACAATCATTCACTCGTTTAACCCAAAACTCGATACACATCTGCCATCATGACCCCAGGTTTACTCGAGGGCAGCGCTTTTCGAGGAGCGCTGTGGCCCGAAGGTTTAGACTTTGAATTGTGAAAAACGCCCGCCCGCCGCCAAACGCAAACACCGCAATACGCGCAAAACGCACGCCCGAACGCCAACGCAAACGTCGCAAAAAATAAACAAGCGCCCGCCCGCCGCAAACCGCAAATAAAAAAACACAAAAAGCCGCAAAACGATAAAACCACCCGCATCGCACGCCCGCTAACCGCCAACCGAAAACGCCTAAAAATCGCCCGCCCGCCGCCAAAAGCAGGGCTGCGGAGTCGATGGATTTTTGGCGACTCCGACTCCGAATCCGACTCCGGCTTTCAAAAACCAGCTCCGACTCAGACTCCGACTCCGGGCAGAATTGTCGACTCCGACCGACTCCAACTCCCGACTCCGACTCCGCAGACCTAGTTAGCAGGGCTGCGGAGTCGACAGATTTTCGGTGACTCTGACTCCGACTCCGGCTCGGGTTTCTAAAATCGACTCCGACTCCGACTCCGGTCACAACTGTCGACTCCGACCGACTCCGACTCCGACTCCGACTCCGCAGCCCTGGCCAAAAGCAAACACCGCAAAAAAACGAAAAAGCGGCCGCCAGCCGCAAACAAATTTAACACCGCAAACGACGCAAAAAAAAGAAAACCGCCCGCCGCCAAAGCCAAACACCGCAAAAAAACACAAAACGCACGCCCGCCGCAAAACGTTAACACCGCAAAACGTGCAAAACGCACGCCCGAAACGCCAACGCAAACGTCGAAAAAATCGCCCGAACGCCGCAAACCACACAAAAAAAACCGCCGAAACGCCGAAAAAAATAAAACGCCCGCATCGCACCGACGCTAACTGCTAACCGAAAACGACTAAAAGTCGCCCGCCAGCCGCCAAACGCAAACACCGCAAATAAGCGCCCGGCCGCAGCAAGACAATAATTTATCAACGACTGGCATACCGCTAGGATTCCAGAGATTCAGCTTTTTGGTCATTTTCACAAATCAAAAAGACATCTGCAAAAATCTCCTAGATGAAAGCGCCCAATTAAAAAACGGATGGCACGTGCGTGTTCCTCGCCCCCAACTTCCTTCAGGTCAATCGTCATTTGGGTCACCTAACGCATTGACGACCGGCTGGGTGGAATGAACTTTGCGCCAAGAAACGTAAGTACAGGTCTAGCGGGTTTTAGCGGTAGGTCGCTCGGCGAGCGGGAGGGCAACCAGTTCCGCCTCTGTATCGGCGACCATTTGCTCCGCCCAGTTACTCGCGAGTGCGTACTACGACACATAGTAAAGTGGGGAGGGAAGGGTCAGAGTGGCAGCCTGCGTAGAGGCTAGAACCGGTTTCTATCGTCTGGGCCGGCGACACGGCATGCGGTCAGGGGACGGGGAAAGGTCAGAGGTCACTCACAATGTGCAGTACCGCGTCCCGTCCTCTCTGCGTGCTGACCAGCGCACGACTTCGGCCGTTGGCCAATCGGCATTGAACGGTCAAGGCCACACGTAGCCAGCGGGCGGAGTGAGCCGGCAGGGTGCCGATCCATAGGTAGTCGAAGTTTTAGCCGCTTACCATTGAGGCCGGGAGACGACTGTAATGTTATTTCTTG